CCGATGGGGCCCCCTTCTCTGTCTCCCCAACAGGGGCCCCCAAGGGGCCCCCCACAGGGGCCCCCAAGGGGCACCCAGAAGGGGTCCCCAAGGGGCCCCCAGAGGGGGCCCCCAAGGGGCTCTCCGAAGGGGCCCCCAAGGGGCCCCCCGAAGGGGCCCCCTTCTCTTATTCCCCCGAAGGGGCCCCGAAGGGGCCCCCAGAAGGGGCCCCTTGTTGTGGTTCGGGTGTTGGTAGTGGGGGTCGTTTTGTAGTTGTAGACGGAAGCTGCGTGATGTTTAGATGTTATCATGCGATGCCGACTTTAAGAAATAGAGAAGGAGACAATGTGGGGGCCTTAATGGGGTTCTTTCGCTCTCTTGTTCAGGTATGTAGCAGCAATTAAAGGAGACAGACACCCAAAAAGGAGACACCAACCATACGCACACACATGCATGCATTAATATATATATATAATATGTATAAAATATGTAGTTATAGTTTTATTTATGTTTATATGCATATATATAAACATATATAAACATATATATATATATATATATATGCATGCACTGCATGCATGCACTGCGTTGCGATTGGGGTGTATGTGCAGATCCGGCGTCGGGTGTCTCCTTCGCATATGGCTGTTGTCTTTGACCACCCAACAGGGCGTTCATCGCGTTTAGCTGTCTCCACATCGTATAAAACGCATCGGTCTCATCCCCCCCTAGACTTTGTTGAGCAAATGCAGAAAGCTAAAGCTCTTTGTGCTGCACTTGGTAACGACGCCTTCCTCCTCCTGCTGCTAGAGCTGCTGCTAGTGCTGCTGCTAGAGCTGCTGCTAGTGCTGCTGCTAGAGCTGCGCCTGCTGCTGCTAGTCGTGTTGCTGCAGATGCTGCTGGGGTTGCTCCTGCTGCTGCTGCTAGTGGTGCTGCTCGTGCTGCTCCTTCAGTTGCTGCTGTGGATGCTACTATAGCTGCTGCTGCTGCTGGTGCACGAGCTGCTGATGCTGCTGTTGCTCGTGGTGTTGCTGCTGCTCGTGGTGTTGCTGCTGCTCCTGTGGCTGATGCTGTTGTAGCTGCTGCTGCTGCCTTAGCTGCTGCTTTTGATGAATCAGTCGTTACGCGATTGGCCGCTGCAGCAGCAGCAGCAGCATCCATAGTGCTTGCAGCAGCAGCAGCAGTAGCAGCTAGTTGAATCGCTTTTGTAAGGAGCTTCTCTTGCCTTGTTTGCTAGCTGCTGCTGGGTGTGCTGCGACCTGCTGTTGCTGCTGCTACTGCTGCTGCTGCTGCTGCACCAGGATTGCTGCCGCTGGAGGTGGAGGGAGTTGAGGGAGACGACGTCATCGCAACCCTGGTTGACCGTCTCTGCGGAGGAGACACTCAGCAGCAGCAGCAGCAGCAGCAGCAACAGCACCAGCAGCAGCAGCAGCAGGGGGAGTTGCTGCCGGATTTCATTGCGACTGTAGATAAGGACCTGCTGCAGGTGCTGTCTTTGTGCTGCTGCTGCTGCTGCTGTCTCCTCTTGTGCAATCCTTTGCTGCGCGTGCTGCTGCATTTGCTGCTGCCTGGGTTGCTTCGCTTGCTGCGGCCCCTCATTATGAGGCTGCTGCGGTGTCTCCTGTGTCTCCTATTTCCCTTTTGCTGCTGCTGCTCCTTGATTCCTGCTGCTCCTTGTTGCTGCTGTTTGCTGTTGCTCTCGCTGCTGTTCGCTGCTGCTCGTGCAGCTGCATCTCCTATCACCCCTGCTGCTGCTGCTGTGTATGCTGCAGTGTCTCTCTTTGTGTCTCTGTATCTCCCTCTGTCTGTTTTATTTTTATTTGTCTCTTTCCTCCCATCTCGCTTGTCTGTACCTGCATTTGTTTTGTCTACTGTCTCCTTTTGTCTCCTTCTGTATCTTTTTATCTCTCTTCGTCTCCTTTTGTCTCTCTTCGTCTTCTTCTGTCTCTTTGTGTCTCTCTTCGTCTCCCTCTGTCTCTCTTTTTCTCCTTCTGTCTTTTGTTGTCTCTCTTTGCCTCTCTTTATCTCTTTTTGTCTCCTCATCTCTTCTTTTGTCTCCTTTGAACGCACCTTTTGTCTCCTTCTTGTGTCTCCTTTTGTCTCCTTTTAGCTCTCCTTTTGTCTCCTTCTGGTGTCTCCTTTTGTCTGCTGCAGCTGCTTCGCTACAACTATCAGTCCCCAAGGCGGAGCCCCCGCGTTAGTCTGCTTGCTCTTCACCGCCAGGGGCAGCTTCTAGATACTCAGTTTGTTCGTGATGAATACGGTAATTAGGGTTTAGGGTTTAGGGTTTAGGGTTTAGGGTTTAGGGATTGGCGGGCTGTGTTGTTTAGGGTTAAGGGATCAGAGTTTTGCTGCATCTGCTGTCTGCTTTTGGGGCTGTAGACAGTCTCCACTGTCTCCGAATTTATTTGCTCTTCTGCTGCTGCTGCTGCATGCATGCATGCATGCAACGAAGTAAACAATTATGCATACATGCTTGCATGTGTGCTTTTTTCCTGCTGCTGTTGTTGCTGCTGCTGCTGCTGCAGCAGATTTTGCTTGTTGCTGCAGTTGCCTGCAGCAAAAGAACACACACTCCCTGCATGCATGCATGCATGCATGCGTTAAGTTTATATTATTTTGCTGCAGGAGTGGAGCCCCACCAGCTGCTAGACTTCTTCTCGCTGGTTGGGGATCGTGCAGATGGGATCGTGGGGTGTCGCGGGATCGGGGCGGCGGCAGCCCGGAAACTCCTCCAGGCGGTAGAAAGCCTTGAGGTCAGCCTTTAGTGTTTATTAGGGTTTACAATGGTTTATTAGGGTTTATTAGGGTTTAGTAGGGTTTATAAGCGTATACTAGGGTTTGCTAGGATTTATTAGGGTTTTAATATGATTGAGTTGGGTTTGTTA